GATGGCTATGGGTAGATTTATATTTCCCTTCCTAGAAATAAGTACACTATCTTAAATTGTTATTTTTTCAATTTATTTATTTAAAACATTTAAGCTCTGCCATTGTCTTACTGCAAACTCTGGTTTCAATTTTATCTTCCATTAACCTCCTTCACATAGTCAAACTCTAGCAACCCTTCTTAAACTGTGGGTTGTGACCCCATATAGGGTTGCAAAGAATTTGGCAACAGTAGAAGGTTTCTGAATGCATAATGACCAAAAATTAGTTAAAAACCAAATGCACAATGAATCTGAGGTGCTTCTGGCAGTGCTTGCCTGTGTTGCATGGTACAACTTCACTGCAGCCTTCCTTCTGAAAACAAAGCATGCTCACTTTGCACAGTGCATGCCCTCAGGCCATGCAACGCCAACAAACACTGCTGAAATACAAAAATGGGTCAGAAATGGGAAAAAAAATAAAGTCCTGTCTAGCCAAACTGAACTACTCACCATTCCTTGAATATGCCTCCAATTTTTCTTTTTTCTGAATCATTTCATATTTTCTGCTTGGAATATCTTCTCTTTCTTCTTCTTTCTCTTCAACCGCATCAGTATTAATCCTTTCATCAGCTGAGGAGCAACACAGCTATTTTCTCCATGAGCTCCTCAAACCAGTGCGATCTATCTCTCCTCATCCTAACCAAGCACTTCATGTGTATTTCTCATACCAATCAGCAAAGATTTATTAAACACTTAAGTATGTGTAAGAAATTATGCAAAGCTGTGAGGATACAATAACAAATTCCCTGCCTTCAGCAGCTAGAGGGACCAGGACAGGCTTCACGAAGAAGATAGTGCTAGAAATATTGGGCAAATGCCAATAGATTGAACTAATGCTAATAGTATAGAGATTTCCTGAATACATGCAAAACATATAAGTTTTTGCATGTTTTGGATATTACCAGGTGATTAAAGTATGTAAAAATCCATGACTGAAATAGATGTGGGTATTTTTATTATGCAAAAAAGCATATTTGTCACATAATGCATCAGGAACTTTGATAATAAACTCTTAACCAAGAAGCATAATGATAACCATTTCAATTCAGCCTAGGCAAATGTGTCATATGGAACAAGCAATTAGTAAGTGGTATACACAAAGAGAAATCACTCCTAGTTAAGTAGAATATTGTAAATAATGGATTTTATTCAAACAAGCAAGGTCCTGAATTACTATAAAGCAAACATCAATTATTCATACAGTTTAATATTTTATTGTATCCCTCATAAACATTTACATTAGAACAGCAGTGAGCTAGGCTCCAGAGAATTAAACTAGGCCAATAAGACCCTCTACTTACATACCTTCTCTGTTAGGTATGCCGTCCACCACCTGCATGGATGTCATCAAGGGGTGAGGTTGGAAGAAGAGGTCTTTGCAATCCTTTAGAAAATATATAGCTACTAAAGCCAGCATTGCTCCCAAAAGTATCATATCAAAATTGCATGTGTATGTTCTCTAGAGTTTTGAGTTTAGTCCTGGGTCCCATAGGTTAGGGACATTGAAAAACATATGCAGTGGAGAGCAAGCCAGTATAATAAAGGAACTCCAAACCATGTCAGATGAGGAACAACTGAAGGAACTGTGAATGTTTGACCTGGAAGAGAAAAGGCATAAACCAGCATTTAGCACAGTGTGTCAGTGTCTAACAACATTTTTTGCACGTAGTAGTCATTTAATAAACATTTGTTGAATTGAACCAGATGTTACAAGGACATGGTTTCTTCCAACCCCAGGAATCTTTGACTGCTGATCACAATGTAGAGCAAAATAGAATTGGTAAGTCTAGACAAAGGAAGATTTTTAAAGAGTTTCTTTGTCAAAAACTGAATTAGTTTTGATTTTCTTAATTTTCGTTTCTCATTCAGCATTGTTGAAAGACATTGGAATCTGGGGATTCACAATGATTCAAATGCTGTCTTACATTGTTAATTATCTTTGAATATGCACATTCTATATCTATATTTATATCTACATATATAATGAGGATGTAATAAGGACAAAGTGAGGACATGGGTGAGGTGCTTTGACATTGTGAAGTTACTGGTGTGGTTTGTAAGGCATTAATAGGATTAAGATCTTTAATCAGCCAATTAATATATATTCAGAGAGTACCTAGTAGGTGTAAGACAATTTTCTTGGTGTGATAGAGGAGGGGGGGTTACAAAAAGAAGAAGACACAGTTTCTAACATCAAGAAGATTAAATTTTATATTAAGAGCATTGTATGTGTATGTATGTGCATACACATACACATATATGGACTCAAACTCACAGATACATACCTACGCATATATCCATGCATACATACACATACATCTACATATATTATATATAATACATATGTGTGTATGTATATAAAACAGCTGATGTATAGTGGGTGCTCTTTGGACATATGTTAATTGGCTGATTAAAGCTCAGTAATCTATTGCTTCTCTAATGCTATTATAAACCACTCTACTTACAGAAGCAAATAAACATAATAATCTTGTTTTTGACAAATGTAAAGACTTCACATTTGGGGATAACAATTCATTATTTGGTAAAAAGTGTTGGGAAAACTGGAAAGCAGTATGGCAGAAACTGAGCATAGAGCAATATTTTACACTACTTATCAAAATAAGGTGGATACATAACCTAGATATAGAGAGATTTTACAAGAACATTAGAGGAACATAGAACATATTATTTATCAGACTTGTGGATAGGTGAAAAATGTATGAATAAACAAGAGACAGAGAGCAAAGTTAGGTGTAAAATGGGTAATTTTGATTACATTAAATTAAAAAGATTTTGTACAAATAAAACAAATGTAACCAAGATCAGAAGGAAAGCAGAAAATTTGGAAGTTTATCAGATAAAAGTCTCATAACTCACATATATAAAGGACTTTGTCACATCTATAAGAATACAAGTCATTCCCCAGTGGATAAATGGTCAAAGAATATGAACAGGCAGTTTTCCAAAGAAGAAATCAAAATGATTTATAGTTATATAAAATTCTCTAAATCATTGTTGATTAGAGAAATTCAAAGTAAAACAACCTTGTGATATCATTTTCCACCTACTAGATTGACTAAAATGAAAGAAAGGGAAAGTGACAAATGTTGGCGGGGATGTGGAAAAATTGGGACCCTAATTCATTGTTGGTGGGATTGTTAACTGATCTAACCATTTGGGAGAACAATCTGGAATCATTTCCAAAGAGATATTAAACTACCTGTATCCTTTGATGCAATACCACTATGTGGTCTATTTCCAAAGATAATTAGGGGAAAAGGAAAAAAAAATCTATGTTCTAAAATATTTATAGCAGCTCTCTTTATGGTGGCAGAGAAATGGAAATTGCATGGATGCCCATCATTGGGATATGGCTGAGCAAGCTGTGGTTATATAATTGTGATGTAATACTAAAAAATATGCTAAAAAATGATGACCTCAATATTTTTGGAAAAAACGTGGAAAGACATGAACTGATGCAAAGTGAAGTGAGCAGAACCAAGAGAACACTGTATGCAGTAACAACAATATTTGTTAAGAACAACTTTGAGTGAATAAGTTATTTTGACCATTATAAATACTCAAATTAACTACAAAGAACACACAAAGAAAGGCACTATCGCATCCAGAGAAAGAACTGATAAATTGAAGTATGTATAGAATATATATACACACCTATTTGTGTCTAATGGTAGCCATCTCTAGGGCAGGGGGTGGGGAGGAATGAAGAAAAAAAAGAAATTTATATGATAATTCTTTTGTATATTTGAAAGGAATAGTAAATTGTGCATAGTAGATTGGTAGCTTCATGTATCATCATCTTTTTTATTGTACTATGTTGTGGAAACATTTATTTTATTCCATAAATTAAAAATAAAATAAAAAAAGAATTATTTAAAAAACAAAACACTGCACTAACTGCAATGTCAAAGTACTTCGTCATGTTCCCACTATGTCCTCCCTGTATTCTTATTTTTAAAGGCTGAAGAAGGGATAGAATTTTAAATGAGGAAAGGTGTGCAAAGACATCAGGATTTAGTAGAAATGGCATAGAACTTGGTGTGAGGAGTCCTGAGTCTAGTTCTAGCTTTGTCATTGGCTAGTTCTACAATCCTGAGCAAACTATTTAACCCTCATCAGCCTCAGTCTCCTTATCTAGGAAAATTGGGAGATGCTATCTGCCTTCCGTAGTTGTGTTATAATAATGCATGTAAAAATACTCAGAATCACAAAGCATAATACAAACATAAATTTGGATAATTTTATATATTATTGATACTATGAATGCCAATAATTATATCACAGACAACATCATATACTAATATGTTATATTAACAAGTGATCATAATTATAACTATTATTGGGTTAATGTAAGTTTAAAATGTTTATTTCCTGTAATTGGAAAGTTAGAAGACCAGAACAGAGCTGTTTTATATCCTCATTGACAGGATCTGTACCTTTTGTACAGCGTTGTTCCTGAGATGCCTAGTAATATCAAACATTTATAATGTACTGTGTAACTATCAGATACTCTCTTCATTAGCATAGATTATATTTTACAGAGAGCACAAGCTTGGGTGTCAAAAATTCTAGGCTTGTTCTCAGGGAACTCTATGTGACTTTGGAGGATTCTCTTTCCTCCATTTGTAAGATGATCCAATTCTACTGCAGGATTAGGGTGGCAATTTTTTAAAAAATGGGAACAGATAACGAGGCCAGGAGATGAATGTAGATCCCTATGTAAATAAAATATGTTGAGATATGGAATCTCATCTTCCCACCATGAGTTTTATTTCCAATGACTTTTTTTTTAAATGAAAATTAGCATTACAGCAAGTAATGCCAATATATTCCATTGGATTTGCAAAGAAGTCTGGCCTGCCTAATCTTGTGCAAAACAAATCATTAAGCTATTAGTCACCTTAGAAATATCTATTTTATTTTTGATATTCAATTAATAGGTGATTTCATCAATACGGGAGTTCCTTCCAATGGTACAGATTGTGACCCATCCATGACCTCTCAAAAATTCTCCACAGAAGATCTGTCCAACACATCTGAGATCTTTTTTCTAGTGGTTTTCTGTGAGTAGCAGATAAGCATTCATGTTTTACTGCTCTATGGCATTCTTTTTATTCTTGTTGGATTCACTACCATGCTTTCCACAGAAGCTAAACCATATCTTCTCTGTTATCTGTTATACCTTGCTCTCTCTACATGAACAGCTCACTTCCTTTCCCAGTCATATTTTCTGCATTATATCTTTCATGCTGTTTCTTGTGAACAAATATGTTGCAACCTATTTATGCTTACTATCTGAGGTTTTATTCTCTATAGGCAATAGGTAAAGGCAACTGAAGATTAGAAAGAAAGGGAGAATGATCAATGAGGGAAGTTCCTAGAAGAGATGGAAGGGTTTAGGATTAAGGGCAAAGAGGAGTGGGGTTGAGCTTATTAGGGAATAGTGTCATGTCTTATCCCAGAGGTTGGAGCAAAAGAGAAGATAGGTAAAGACACAGAAGCTAAAGGAATTAATGGCAAATAGCCTCAATTGGCATAGTAAAGTAGGAAGCCAAGCTCATCTGTTGAGAAAGTAGTATTTAGGGATTGTGTCCATTTTACATGAAAATACAAGAAAAGGACAAGCAAACTCGTGCAGATGATTTATGTTTCTTCCTTCAGATTACCTTCCAACTACTTTGTGCATAGATGTTTGCATGTTGTCTGCTCCATTAAAATGTATGGACCTTGAAGGCAGGAATTTAGCACTTAACTTAGCACACTTAGCACAGTTCCTGGCACACTTAATAAATGCTTGTTGACTAATTGGCTAACTGACTGATTTTGGGGCCTAGCTAATTGTCTATTTGCAGGGCCTATCCAAGATTTATGTATCAAGTGGGCTTACTCAGTGGATTTCCTATTCAACAACATATGATAGTCCGTGCAGTAGACATTCTTCATCCAACCAAATTCTTCATTCATTTGAAATTTCCTCTATGGCTAATCTCCTTTGACTTAACCATGGATCTCACTGACAATCCCCTAGAGTATTTTGCTACTAACAGGAGCCTGCCTGTTCCCTTCTCTTATTGTTGTATGAGCTAAATGTCACTGGAGGAAGCCAGGTTATTGTACTGACTTCAATCTGTGCATTCATGATGTCTAATCTTAACTGGGTTTTTAACTGCTCCATGGCAATCTTTTCATTCTGGTTTGATTCACTACCATGCTGTCCATAGAAACTGAAACATATCTTCTCTTCTTAAGCCTCCAACTCCACTTTTATCCTCATCATTCTCATCAGATTTTCTGAATTTCTACTTTACTGAGGAGATAGAGTCTACTTGTCATGATCTATAAAACATCTGCATAATAACTTTTGGTTTTATATTCTTAGCACCTAGGATAGTGACTGGTATACTTAATAAATTCTTATTGAATTTAACTGAGCTGGTCAGAATGGATGAGATCATGAGGACAAAGAGGGTAGAGAGAGAAGAAGGCTTAGGGCAGAACCTGGTAGTGACACCCACTTATTTGTCATCACTTGCTGAAGTGTCACCTTAATGTAAAAGCTGGCATATGTACTGGGCTGGGCCTTATGTGGGAGGAAAAGAGGGAATGCTTTTAAAGCATGGACACAGTTTATGCAAAGGAACAGAAGTAGGAAGTTTAGTGAGTATGCTAGTTTTTCTAGAACATACTGGCAAGAAAGGAAATAATGTGAAATAAGTCTAAACAGGTAGGGTTCAGCCAGATTATAAGAGTTTTAGATGTCAAGTTGAGGGGTTTATCTTTAATCACAGAGGAAATAGAGAATGGTTGAAGAATAATTTAGCAACTGTATAGAATGCAGATTGAAAAGTATGGTGATGTCCTTTAACAGAAATAGGGAATTTGGGGGAATGGCGCATTAAGGGAAGAAGATGACATTTAAGTGGAGATGTCCAACAGGCAGTTGCTGATGCAGGACTGGAGGTCAGGAGAAAGATGAGCACTGAACATATGAATTTCCGAGTCATCAGCTTTAAGGTGCTAAGAGAACTAATAGAAGCTGATCAGATCATCAAAAAGGAGAATGCAGAGAGAGGAAAAAAGAGAACCCCATTCAGAGTCTTAGGATAGAGTTGGCAAACACATGAACCACAACACTCCCTGAGTGTGACCTGAACCAGATTAAAATGCAATTGGGAAATACTTAGCAAACTAAATAAGATACAATAAAGTATAGATAATGTTAATATGTGGTTTTCTGAGTCAGTATGTGATCTGTATGGATCCTTATGTAAGGTTCAGTAGCCCCTATTTCTGTTTGAATTTGATGCCACTGTTTCAGCGGACCCCCTAGTTAGGGGGCAGGCCTTGGATGATGATTGCCCAAGAGCAAAAGAGACTGTGGAAAGAGCAGTCATAAAGGTATGAAGAGAAGAGAATTTTATGTCATGAAAACAGAGGGAGGGCAATATATCCAAAAGGAAGAGGGAGGGCAACTATGAGAATAGCTATGGAAAAATCAAGAAAGATGAGAAATAAAAAAACCCACAACAATCTGATTTAGAAATTCAAAGATTACTGTTAACCCTGAAGATATCAATTTCAGTGAAATGGTAAATGAGAGTTAAGAAATGGATGCAATGATTGTGGATGGCTTTTTCTGTGGGTTTGGCTGGAAAAGCAAGGAAAGGTATAGTGCATAGTTTGAAGAAATGGCAGTGGCATTTATTTGTTCAAGAGGATAAGGAGATTCGGATGTAGTATTCTCTGGTCTGACTCATCCCACCTGTACTCACTGGAAGTTCTGAGGTTCCCAGGGGGTGGGGGATGTCTCTCTTTTCTCCCTTTCTTCCTCTTTTCCTCTTCCCCGCCTACCTCTCTTTCATGCATTCCTAATACTTGCCACTGTAGCTCCTGAACCCTCACTGGTGTGCTTCTCATTTACACAAAATCAGTCAAAATGAGAATATTAAATCTCAAACACAAAACATTTATTAAACAATAATACAAAATCAGTAGTAATTATAACATTTACTCTATAGAAGGTAAAAGCATGAATAATTGTAACATTTATTGAACAGAAGAGCAGAGTAGGTATAGTCATAATATAGCCATTCATGCATAAACTAGATTTCATTCTCCAAACAATGCACTATGTCTGTTGGGCAGAGTGGGCACACACTTACAGGTAACTAGCAGAAAAGCAAATGAGTGGGCAAACTACTATGTGTGTGGAGGGCCAAGAAGGGACAATCTACACCATATCATGCTATTTCTCTATTTCTCTGCTAGCTGTTCCTCTGGTTCTCACAATTTTGCTGCTGGATAATCCGAAGTTAGTCAAAATGTAACAACCTCTTTTTTAGTTCATAGCCTCCCTTAATAGGGTGCTGAGAAAGTGTTACACCCTTTTAGCAAAAGTATATAAACATCACACTTTTTCAGAAATAAGAAGTTAGCCGGAATATTTTAAAACTCCTTAGATCCACAAATTGCAAGAGATTCTGCTTTATCTAAATGGTTCAAAGCCAAACCTGTTTCCTTCAGCAAAGTGGATGCAAAGCCCTTATTTCCCCCAGTTTTTCCTTCTGATATCAGAGTGGATAGTAGAGGATAACAGATACTCCAAGATGTTTCCTCTCACTCATGCTGTAAATGGCATTAGAGAGTAATAAGCTTAAACAGTCTTATATATAGCAGCAAGAATGAGCTTTACTCAAATCAGAACAGCAGCTAAAGAGCCTCCTCAGCTGACCTAGACTTTTTCTAGACAAGCACCAGAGGGCAGAGTGCTTTCTTGACTCAGGATCCCTGAATTCCCTGACTTCCTTGATTTCCTCCTCCCATGCAACCTGATTGGCCACAGTTTCTTTGATGCACCTTTCTGACCTAAACGGTCATTTGATTTATTTTTTTTAAGTTGTAACCTTTAAAACTTTGAAAAGAGTCCCATGTGAATTAACTGATGCACCACAGTATCTTGCAGCCATCATTACTTTAGTCACCGCTTTGGCTTAAAACAGGTGCATACCATACTTTCAAATGAGGGGCAGTTTTTCATCTGGTTCTCAGAAAAATCTGTCTCCCCTAAACATTTTATCTGAGAGACTGTATTTATTCATAAATTGATTTTTTAAAATGTTTTCTTTACACGAGTATTCTTTTTCTGCTCTTTCAGCAACAAACTATATCAAATAAGCTAGCACCTCACACAGGATTGAAGGAGATTAGCAGGATGAGAACGACTCTGAAAAGTGGTGCAAAAGATTCAATTTGGGAAGTGCGTTGTTGAACTGGATAACTTATGGGGTGCAGACTGTGAAGAGAGAAGAATGAGGCCAGAGCAAAGGTAATAGACTGAAAAAAAAACTCGGAGAAACTGAAGGGCTGATGTTCAAGACTAGATAGCTTATTTACAAGAAGCGAAGCAGTAGGAAAGGTGTAAGGCTATGAAATAGTGATCAGAGAAAGGAATTTCAGTGTTCAAGATCTTAGAAGTTGTACAATTTTGGATACTGCTGAGATCTAAAGTATGTATAACCCTGTGGATGTGTCTGAGTTAAAGAGAACTAAAGGAGATTAGCAGTTTGACAATATTGGAGATAAAATTCTTCGAAGGGTTGTCATTGTAAATACTGAAGTCACCAAATGAAGAATAGCCATTGGAATGGATAAGCAAACTGTGATTCAGGTGTTGAACTCATTAAAGAAGAATAGAGAGTGAGAGGGAGCAAGAATATGAAACAGTTGATGAAATTATCTAATATGGACTTGAGAGGAGAAGTTGTGATTAATGGTGGCAGAGGAGGTAGAATTGGCAGTAGGAACAAGGAACCTTCTAGTCCTACATATGGGGGTGGATGAAAAAGAGTGTCCAGCCCTGGAAAAGGTGCCAAGGGATATGTTATGGTGCCTTCTGTAGAAAGCCAGATTTCCCCTGAATTGCAGAAGATGGACTCAATATTAAAAGAAGGAAATCCAGAATGATGGAAAGTATAGCAAAATAGAAAGTGGGCTGGATTTGGAATTATAGTACTTGGATTCAAATCCTGTTCCTACTACTTACTATCTATGTGATGTTGGGCTAGTCATGTAGCCTCTCTTGGCCTCAGTTCCTCATCTGTTAACCGGGAGGTTGGAATAGGCGGCTTGTAAGGCTAATGATAGAATGGGAGATTCCAGAAGGTACAATAAAAGGTAAGGACAGAGGATTATAGACACTAGAGAGGGGTGGGGCTAAACCAGATAGGACAGAGAGCATATGGACAGTGCCCAGATGGGTTTTCCCTTACACAGGTTCTGAGTGAAAGGGGAGGAAGAGAAAGGGATTTGCTAGCCAGAGGGCAGTGGGAATCTCAGAGGGAAAAGCTTTAGAAGAAAGGTTCTAATTAAAATGTGGGTGTGGAAGTGATGCTGCAGATGGGGTATCCCTCCCCCATGTTTAAATCCCTTAGTTAATTTCAGGAGGTGGGAATGGGGGTGGGTTTAGGCTCAACTAGGAGGAGTTTGCTAAGTTGAAGGAGGATTCTGTCTAGCTTACATGTCGAGATGGAACTCTCATAGGTAATCACAGCATAGTTATGTTTTATATTCACACCAGCAAAACTGATTTAGCTTTCCTTCTATTCAACCATCTAATAGATGTATCATAAACTTCAGAGAATAGTTCATGTTTGTATCTGACTTTAATATTTGCAAAGTGCTTTCCTTAACCCTCTGAGGCATGTCACACCAGCATCATCAATTCCATTTTACAGTTGAAGAAACTGAGGGCTAAGGATGGTAAAGTAGCTTGGCCAAGGTCATAGAGTAAGGAGATTTTAGGACCATAATTTGGACCCAGGTATCCTGACTATAGGTTCCATGTTTTGTTTTGTTTTTTTTGGTTACATGATTGCTCTCTTTCTCTTTCCCTCTGTCTCTGTCTGTCTTTTCTCCCCCTCTCTTTTTCAATTACTTCTCAACACACTGATGGTAAAGCAAGCTGCTGAGGTAGTAAAAGACAGCACATGTTGTAAATCTCCCCCCAAAAGGGAGGTTAATTTATGACTTACTCCTATAGTGGCCTGATGTACAGCACAGTCCAAATAAGAGTTTCCCCTCTTAAAAATTCACTTCAGTCAGTTTCCTTCTCAGTTAACCTCATGTAATAAACAGATTCAGTGTCATAAATACAGATGTTTTCTTGGTTAATGGGCTCTTTATTGTTTAGAGGCCTTTGGTCTAAGTCTCAGCATAAAAAGGGCTGTACTGGGTGGGGCAACAAATAAGATAATACACTCAGCTTTCCCCTGTTTGATGAATTTTGAAAAGGTCTGATGAATTAGTCAGGACTTATAAGAGCGCCACTTGGGAGATAGGTACTAAAATCAATGACGATGTCAGGAGGTTTGCCAAAAGTTGAGCTGCCTAAATTTTTTGTAGCATCTTGAATCATCCTAGTTCTGCAGAAGAAAACAAAGTAGGTATGAAGCACATTCACAAGCAGAGAAGGTGATGCCTTAGGTGAAGAGGAATCCAGATGTGGCGTAGATGAGGGCGGAAGAAAGAGAGCTGTATCTTTGAGAAAGGCCTTTCATAGTGGAGATGCCCTAAGTCATAGCCCCTTTTGACATGCTTAGTTTTCAGGAACTAAAGGGACCTAAAAGCGAGCAAATTGGTATATTGATTTTTTCTGAGATGCAGCTCCCTTAAAATCCTTAAATGTCCCTCTTAAAGTTGTGTCCATACACAGGTTCCTTACAAAAGTGGCAGTGACAGAGTCCTCAGACACAGAGGAAAACCTCTAGTAGGTAGAGACGTCAAAATTCAGGGATGGAAGACCAAAAGGGGGGGGAAAAGCACAGAAACAAAACATCTCTTCAGTTGTACGGAAGCAGAAAGGTTCTGCAAATGATTCGGTTTTGCCCTTTAATTTGGTTCTTCCAAAATTTGATTTCCAAAGCAAATCAATCCACCCTTGAAAAAAAACACATATCTCCTTCCCAGCTGACAATTACAAATATCTCTCACTCCACATTTGAAAAGTTAGTGTCTAGGTTATGGAAATATAGATACCCTCTTCCTGCTGCAATGTTTGTGTTGATAGACTCTCTTTGGAAGATTAATTCTCAATGTCACCATTCATGAATTATAGGGGATGGAAAGCAGAAAGAGGAAGAGAGACTTTGAATGAATGATCTGCTACATTTTATCATGCTTTCTCTGATATTTTTGAAGCTCAAAGTTTTTCACCAATAAGATCACATCAATTGAACATAATCAGATTGTGGAAATGAGGTGACATGTGGCTTTATCCCTCTTTAGCTGACAGATTTTAGAAGGACATGTACAAACAGAAGGAGGGACACAAAAAAGCATAACTGGGAGCTGTAAGGATAGTATTCAGAAGGCTAAAGCTTGGAAGGAGTTGAGTGATGTAAAAGCTTCAAAGGGCAATAAAAAGGACATTTTCCTTTTTTTTTCTGAGTGGGAAGCAAGAATAAGAATAAGAAAGGGATATGGCTACTGATTCAAGTGAATGATGTAACAAATACCAGAGAAAGTAGGACTACTTATCTTTGCTTCCATCACTGTCATCAAACTGATGAAAAGGGTAGAACAAATGCAAGGTAGAATGAACAGAAGCCTAAGAGTGTAAGGACATAAAAAGAGAGTACCAGTGGCTTTAAATGAATCCAATTCTCTGGATCTAGACAAATTACCTATCAGTATAGGTAATCAGAGTTTGCAGAGGTGATTGCAGAATCTTGGGGTTATTATGGAGAACAGAAGAAATACCAGAAGATTGAAGCCTGGCAAATATACCGATTTTCAAAAAAGGAAAAGGGTCAATCATGAAGCTCAGAGGGCAATGGACTTGGGGTAGATTCTTGGCAAAATCTTAGAAGGTATAATTAAGCAGATGTTAACACTGAAGAAAGAACAAAGTGACCATTCAGAGTCAGAATAGGTTCACCAAGTATAAGTTATGTGAAATTAACCTCTTTCATTTTTTGTTAATATTACTACTAACTAGTTTGTTAACATGATCTTTAAAATGTAATAACCATAATTTACCACAATATTCCAGAAAGACACTCATCTGGGCAGAGTAGAAAGGGACTATTATATTGGCAGCACATCCATTTAGATCTCCATCAGCCAATAGCTAAATGTGCTGGAGAATATTGCCTTGGCTGTTAATATGATGCATCTTGATTTCATTCAGGCTTTAGGTGAAGTCTTTCATATCTTTGCAAAAATGTTGAAAAAGGTGGGTTGGATGATAGCTGGAGTCAATTCATAGTTAATTGAATAATGCGCTTTAATAATTCAACTCAACAAACAAACACCTGCTATGTTTACAGAAGCATAAAATTTGAGAAATGGAAGACACCTTAGTAAGTATCTAGTTTAATATATAACTGAATAAGAATCCCCAGGATCACATAAGTGGTTGGCCAATGGTCATGTAGCCCAACTCTTACTTTATCCTCATCATGACTTAATTAAGTGATTAATTCAAAGTTCTATGCTAGGCTAGGATACAAAGACAAAAATAGTCCTTGTCTTCATGGAACTTAGATTCTAATACATGCTTAGTAAGTTTTTACCCAACTTAAAGCCAGACAGGAAAGCTAATTTCTTGAATGAAAGATCCAAGATTTTAAAGGATTTTGATGGGCAAAAGCAATGGGCAAAAATTAATTAAAAGAAAGCTAATAGTGATGAAGATAAATTTGGCTACTTATTTCAGGAAAATCAACTGAGCACTTTATAAAGGAGACCTGGCTAATCAATAGTTCATGTGAAAAAGACAGGCCTTTTAAATGATTGCAAGTTAAAAATGAGTAAACAGTATAATTCACTTAGCTATCCAAAAAGCCAACGCAATTTGAGGCAGCATTAATAGAAATGAAACGTCCAGACAAAGGAAGTAAACTTGCAAAGACAGTTAATGCTTTGCCAGAAGCCCTTGCTGCTTCATATATCTTCTTGAAGAACTACTCTTCCAAACCCTAGTACTTTTAGACGTTGGCAAATACCATATTTTCATAGCTTTCATGACAAATAAATTATTCTTGTATAGATGTCCTTGAAAAAGCGCTGTATTTATTGAACACGTAGAGTTTAAACATACATTGATAACTTTGGGGCAATATCTCCAAAGACAAATATGGTGCCCTGTCAACATAACCTCTATACTCAAGGAATCTTTACAAGATAAAGAAATCTTTAAAATCCATTCATCCATCAAACACCCTGACAACATTGTCATCGATCACTTCTTTCTCTTGTGTTCAGATGGATAGATGCTAAGA